GCAACAGAGGGAGACTCTGTCTCAAAAAAAAAAAAAAAAAAAAAGTACTGGGCTTTCCATCTTCATCAGCACTGGCTATATTTTGTTAAACCAGATTTGTCTCAATGACCATAGTTATTGGTGAAATTCCTTTTTGGGTCAGTAGCTATACAACTATTTATTAGCATGGTTAATTATAAAAGTCATAAATTAAAATCCAGACAATATGCCAAATAGCAACAGTATCAACTGTTTGGGCACATGTTACAGTTTCTAGCCAAATATATTCAACCATGGCCTTAGACCCATGGATTCTACATGTGTTCCTTTTCATTAGCACTTCTGATTGTGGTCTTGGCAATGGACATGATTTTGGCAAACATCTGCCTAAGGGAATTTGCTATATGTCTCTAAATCAAAATGGAATGAAAGTTTGTACTATATACTGTTGAAAGCCAATGGTAGAGGATGGTGGCAGGGTTAGGTTGAAACATGGTATTCTAGTTATTATTGCCATATAACAAAGTACCCCAGAATTTAGCAGCTTAAAACAACCACATGATGCTCATGGATTCTGTGGGTCAGGAATTTGGACCGGGTGTCATGGGAGGCCTCTCTCTGCTCCCTGATACTGGATGGAACGCAGGCTCAATGGCTGAGGGACAGAATCATCTGAAGCCTCCTTCACTGATGCCTGGTACCTGAGATAGGATGATTCAAAGGTAAGGACAGCCAACTGGAGCACCAGTATATGGCTTTTCTGTGTGGCTTGGCTTTCAGTGTTAGCCTCTGGGTAGTCAGGCTTTTTATGTGGTGGCTCAGGTGTCCAAGTGTGAGTATATTGGTGAGCAAGATGGAAGTTGCATCACCTTTTATGATCTAACCTCAGAACACATTTTCGTTGTGTTCCATTGGTCCAAACAGTCACGAGCCTACTGAGATTCAAGGGAAGGGAGGTAGATTTCACCTTTTAATGGGTCAGCAGCCAGGTCAAATTGTAGACAAACATGTAAGACAGAAGATGCTATTGCAAACATCTTGGAAATACAGTCTGCCTCATTTGGCAATAAAAAGGTAACCTTTCTGGTCTCATTGGCTTCCTTAAAATACTTAGGATATAATCCCCAAGAGCTAACAGCATACTAAAAGTGATTAGGGGCTGGGCACAGTGGCTCATGCCTATAATCCCAGCACTTTGGGAGGCCAAGGCAGGCAGATCACTTGAGGCCAGAAGTTTTACATGGTAAAACCCCATCTCTACTAAAAATACAAAAATTAGCTAGGCATACTGGCACACCTGCAATCCCAGCTACTCAGGAGGCTCAGGAGGCTGAGGCATGAAAATCTCTCGATGCTGGGAGGTGGAGGTTGCAGTGAGCCAAGATCACACCATTACAGTCCAGCCTGGGCAACACAGTGAGACTCTGTCTCAAAAAACAAAGCCGGTGGAGGGGGTAGGTGTACAGCTTGAGAACTAGTGCTTTGTCCATAAATAACTCTCAAACTGGAGAAACATTCCCTTCTTTCAATAATCTTCTAGTCGTCCTTCTGGAATAAGGTATATGATGCCACTCTTTGGAAGTTTCCTGTAGCTTTGAGAAAAAGTAAATAAATACAAGGCAGTGCTTTTCCTGACTCCTGTGTAGTGCATATGACTCCTCAAATCCCACTGCAATAACTCCTTCCAAATTTTGAGTGAAAACAAGTTGGTTAACTGCTGCCAAACATCTAAAGGAAATGCTCCTATAATCTTTCTGTATAAATAGTAATTTTGTGTTTAGGTTTTGGAATGGTTAATTATAAGATTTAGTGGAAGATACAGCCCTTCAGCTTCTATTCCGCTTTGAAGGAATGAAATTTCAACCATAAGCTGACCTTTAGTACTGTGACTTAATTCTGGGAAGAGCTGGGAAAAAAAAAAAAAAAAAAAAAAAGCATAAATAAAAAAGAAAAAAAAAATTCTGGGAAGAGCTGAAGACAGCCCGATCAAAATGCCCATCTGTACTGGAAAGAGTTTTCCTCTGTTCTGATGGAAAACTGCTTCTCATACTCTCATTAATGTTGTATTTGTAATGGAGTCATGTTGGCCTCTAACCCAGCACACTCTGATGCTGGGCCAGTGATAAGAGGCTGTGAGCCTGAAATTGGATGCTGACCTTCTGAGACACTGATAGGACAGAGATGACATAGCAAGTACCAGCATCATCTCTCAGAAAATAGCTCCCAGAGGTTTGGAGGCATTTTACTACAAGAAGATAACGGTCCTTGCCTTGGATATCTTCTGTGTGAGAGATAATGGAAATGAAATTCTTGACTGATAACTGAAGAAGGGAGAAAGTCCTATGAGAGTGGCCCCCAAACATCTCT